ACACTCCAGATGGGCTCAGCACAGCCAACGGAGACTGTCCTACAAGGCCACAATGTGGGCAGGCACAAAGAAATCATGGAGGCAGCTACCTTTTGTTTTTTCAAATGTGAAACAATTCTGAATGGCTTAAGCAACACGTATTTAAAAGCTCAATTGAGATGAAGAAAGAAAGAATACATGCTCAGCTCCAGAGACATGCAAATGAGACTGGGGGACAGAGGGAAGTGCATTGATTCCTTCCATGATCCCTGAATAGCAGCAGTGGGTCTCAGCATCTTATTACCACCAAACAGGTCAGCAGGCAAGCCAGCTGCCACCTTGTCCTGTGCAAACCACAGGCACAGTCCCCAAAACCAGGCAAATGACTATCTTATTTCTTCAGGGATAGCAAAATGGTCCAGGGTTCGGAGCCATGTTTCCTTCCCAACAAGACCTAACTGCTGTGTGTACACCACACACAACACACATAACAAGACCAAATGATGAAACTCCTTCCTCAACTCCCTCCATGAGTGGGAAATGTGGATCTTCATTCCTGTGACACAAGACCTTGAAGGTTGCTGAAAAATGCTTGTCCCATCTGACCGGGGCAGCATTTTCATTTATTGCACACCATTAAGGTTTTTTTTTGTTTGTTTGTTGTTGTTGTTGTTGTTGTTGTTGTTTTGTTTTGTTTTTTGAGACACAGTCATGCTCTGTCTCCCAGGCTGGAGAGCAGTGGCACCATCTCGGCTCACTGCAACCTCTGCCTCCTAGGTTCAATCTTTCTCTGGGACCCAGCCTCCCTGAATAGAGTAGAAACGCAGCCAGCAGAACCCAAACTGTTCTGCCCACAGGCTCCTCCCCACAAACCACACCTCAGGGCAACACAGTTTCCAAATCCATGATGCAGAATCCATGAACAGAAAACCTTCTGCTCCAGAAGGCACTTACAGGAAGTGAACATTAAAATCACATCTTTTTGTGGCTCTTTTTTTCTAACATAATCAGCATTTCTTACTGCATATACTAAAAGATGTTTACCATTTATAACCAGAAACACTGTTTCTCATAAAATAATCATAAAATGTAAATTATTCAGTAACCCATCTTTCTGGAAAAGAATAACACTATATGAAATTGAGGTATTGCCCCAAAAATCTAGATGGGCCCTGAAACTCCAAATATTTGAATTCTTAAATAACTTCATACCAAGCCCATTTAATAAAAACTATGTCAAGCACAGTACTAGAACCAATATGAAAATAAAATTTCAAACTGAGACAGCTGTATCAAAAGAAAAAATGAAGAGAAAAATCGCTTCACTGCTTTTTAGGATTTTCAAAGATGATGTTAAACCCAGCCACGGTTCTGACGTCCAGGAAAGCAATTGCTGTCGTGCAAAAGGACAAGGGTTAAAAGAGATCAGTGGGCACTCTCTTTCCCCATTAACCCAGGTGGTGTGACGTGGAGGCTTTCTGCAGAGTCCAGGGTGCCCTGGACTGAGAACTCCTTCATCAACCCCCTCCATGGGTGGGAAATGCGGATCTTCATTCCTGTGACACAAGACCCTGAAGGGGGCTGAAAAATGCTAGTCCCATGTGACTGAGGCAGCACTTTCATTTATTGCACAGCATTAACTTTTTGTTTGTTTTTTTGAGACAGAGTCTTGCTCTGTCCCCCAGGCTGGAGAGCAGTGGCACTATCTCGGCTAACGGCAACCTCTGCCTACTAGTTCAAGCAATTCTAATGCCTCAGCCTCCTGAGTAGCTGGGATCACAGGTCCCTGCCACCATGTTCGGCTAATTTTTGTATTTTTTTTTTTAGTACAGATGGGGTTTCACCATGTTGGCCAGGCTGGTCTTGAACTCCTGACCTCAAGTGATTCACCTGCCTTGGCCTCCCAAACTGCTGGGATTACAGGCATGAGCCACCATGCCCAGCCACCATTAGATTTTGGCAGGAATCCTTGTGCTAGATGCCATTATCCCACCAATCACTGAGCACTTCTCACTTCCTGCCCCTGGTGCTGCTGGATACTCTATGGCAAGCCGCCATTCCTGCCCACTCACCTGAGGACAGAAACCTCCAACTCTGCCTTGCCAGGAAAACTGACTAGTGTGTCTGACAGATGGCGAGTCCTTTGATGTACATGGCCCTCAAAAAGAATGAGGAAATTCTTTCATTTACACCAAAGTAAGCAAATGCTGAAAGAGCTTATAATGAAACATCACGTTCCCCAATCTGGACTTAACAAGGTTAGCCAGCAGAGTTGGTATTATTTCTGATTTTAATTCTACTGGTGGCTATTTTCCACCTCTCTAAATAATTTTTAAACTCTCTTTCTGGGTATCAACTTCAGATAATATTTATTGTCATCCCAGTATGAGAGGTGAGTTTGGTAGGCCACGAACTCCCAGGCTCTGGTGCAAGTGACCAGATGATTGCACCAGCTACTGCAGTCACAGTCACACAGAGGAGCTATCCAATCTTAGCGAGAGCACTGGGATAAAAGAGATCCTTCTAAGAGCTCCCACCAAACTCTGGGAATACAGAAGCATCCATTAGAAAGCCGGTGGTCACACAGCCTTCAGGATGGATCCAGGCTCTTTTCTTAACTTTATAAAGCCCTGGATAGGCTGGCACTAACGTGGCATGTCACTGCCGCACGTTGAGGGCAGGAACTGGCTCCTGCTCCAGTTTGCATCCTCTGCACCCAGCACCAGGCCCGTCTGCTCGATGCAGCATGAGCAAGTAGCTTAGGCCTAGGCCTGTCCACCCAACCTTCGCAAAGGGTGCAGCGGCAGAGACCATGAGCGGCCAAGATGAAGTCCTCACAAGCTTCTTTGATTCTTTATACTATATGAGATATTCTCGATATCTGAGGGATGAACAGCAAACAAAATGTGCTGTATCCATACAATGGGGATGGGAATCAACCCTAAGGAGAAAGGAAATTCTGATGCATGCTACAACATAGATGGGGCCTGAGGACTTCAAACGAAGTGAAAGAAAGCCAGGTGCAAAAACACAAATGACTGTATGATTCCGCTCAGATGTGGCACCTGGAGTCATCAAATTCACTGAGACAGAAAGTAGAGGCCAGCAACGGTGGCTCACGCCTGTAACCTCAGCACTTTGGGAGGCCTCAGCGGGTGGATCGCCTGAGGTCAGGAGTTCCAGACTAGCCTGACCAACATAGTGAAATCCCATCTCTACTAAAATTACAAAAAATTAGCCAGGCATGGTGGCAGGTGCCTGTAATCCAAGCTACTTGGGAAACTGAGGCAGGAGAATCACTTGAACCAGGGAGGTGGAGGCTGCGATGAGCTGAGATCATGACATTGCACTCCAGCCTGGACAACAAGAGCAAGACTCCCTCTGGAAAAAGAAAAAAAAAAAAAGAACCCACCAGGGTAGGGCTGCCAGCACACAGCCACAAGCTCCAGCTTTATCCACTCATGCTCTGGACACGGCCCGGAGCCCCCCGCAGTTTCCACGTCAGTGTCACCCCAGCCCTCCTGCCCAGGAGATCCTAAGTTCAGGAGACCCTCTCCAGCCCAGGCTGCAGGGGGAGGCAGCCCCCAATATCACCTAGGAGTGAATACAGAGGTCAGGGCATCCTGGACGCTCCGGACTGGGAAACCCAGATCATGTCCCCTGCGTCGTGGCCACACCTCCTGGGAGAGGAGAAACCCCTGCCTTACCTCACTGGAGGGACCCTGACCCAGAAGCCTGAGAAAAAGTCACCTGCAGGATCCACACTTCTGCCAAGCTGCGCCTTAGGAAAACTTGTCCCACTTCAACCGGCAAAGTTCTCAGGTCATTATTTCTAAAACCACTGTCCTTTCTCAAAGAGGACGGAAAATAGAAAAAACAACCACCACCACCAGGAAAAAACACACACAAACACACACAGAATGAGGCACAGGAGGTTGAACAGGTCAAAGGCAGTTTAGCCTCCCCCCTCCAAAAAAAAGTGCCAGACGCATGATGCCGAGTTTGGAGTTTGGGGTGCTTCACCCTCCGCATGCCCATTTATGAGCTGACTGCACTCACCCACAGATTTATGTCTAGTCCCTGCCTGGTCGCATCTGAATAGATCTGAAAAAATAACGAGCCTTTCTCCTGTCAGTAAATACTAAGTTAAGACTGGCAGCCCCCTCTAAGGCTCTGTCCTCCACCCAGGTCCCGCAGAGTACGCCCCTAGCGGGTGTCCTCCCACCATGCTTCCTCTGCAGCTCGGGAAAGGAAGGTCGCCCTCCTGTCTGTCACCGAGGCCCACTGCCGGGTCTGTAGTAGAGCCCTGCTTGGGGACCGGGGGCCTCAATGTTCTCTTTCACCATCTGCGGCCAGATCTCCCGCCAGCAGCCTTGCCAGGCAGTACCTGCAGTGGGAAAGGGGCCTGACCGAGGGGCAGGCCCGCGCCGCGCCCCCAACCCGTCGCCTGCAGCCAGGGCAACCAGGTGTGGGGTTTTTAATTGACAAGTTGTTCCGTCCGAGCCTTATTATAAAGGGAAAGGGACGAAGATCCGGGCTCGGGTTCTCCGGGGGCAGCGAACCCAGAGGCAACACCAACCCAATTGCCGCCAGGCACTGGGACTTGAAGCCAGCGCCAAACGGGACCTCGGAACGCACCAGCGGCCAGACCAACCCGGCGGGACTCCAGCGGGCACCCCGCCCCCGCGTGAGACAGTGTCTCCAGGAGGCACCGGGTGGCCATTCGCTGCGGTGTCCCGTCCGGGATGCGAGCGCCGCCGCCAGGTCCCCGCTGCACTCGCCCATCGGTCCTGGGAGGGGAAAGGAGCCAGTAGGAGAGGAATGGGGCTGCCAGGTGCACCCCCAGATCCCAGCAACCACCCCGAAGCCCCGCGGCCCCGGCGAGCCCAGAGGGTAGCGCTCGGGAACACTCCGGCCCCACCCTCCGCGCTGCCCCCGACGCGTCCGGGTCCCTGCGGCGCCGCGCGATGCCCCAGGCTGCCAACGCCAGCGCGTCAGGCAGCCCCGGCCCCCCAGCTTACCTGGCCCGGGCGCGGGGCTGCTTCAGCGCCCTGCCGTCCTGCCCCGTGGCCGCCCGCTCGGTCCGCGAAGCCGAGCTCCTGGGAGCCCGCGCTGAGCAGCACACACCTACTGCCGAGGAGCCGCGAAGCTGCAGGATGGCGGGCGCGTCCCGGAAGTGGCCTACGGCAAGCCTGCGGGGCCTCCTGCGCGGAGCGCACGCGCGCTCACCTGAGGCTGCCGGACCCGCCGCCCAGCCTGGCCGCTTCACCCCACCGTCTTTTGGATCACTGGGCGTGAAACGCTTCCCTGCGACCCCGCGCGGCGGGAAGAGAGGGAAGACGAAGATGCCTCCGTGCCGGGCGTGCGCGAGCAGCCGCGTCCCTGGCCCCGGCGCTGGGACAGTCGGCAGGGCGGGCGGGTGCACCCGGGACGCCGGTCCGCCGGGCGGGTCTCCCTGACGGGGCTGGAGCCCAGACGCTGGAAGGATGCGGCGCCCCGAACGCACCGGGCCCTGGAGAGCGCACCGATTCGCGAGGCACTACCCGGCCCTGCGTGCGGGGGAGCTGCAGGGGTCTGGTCCCGCGGGTAGAGCCGGTGAACGGGAGGCTCACGCCCTGCCCTGGCCGCCACGCTGAGCCCTGCTCACTCCACCCCGAGCAGCTGTAAAGGGGACCCTAGAGCAAGGAACCTTGGGGATCGCCGCCTCCGAAAGCCCCATCCGGCAGGGGAGGCCCCCTGCTGCCTCCCCACCGCAGCTCCCCTGGGCGCCTGCAAGACTCCCAGTCTTCCCTACCCCTCCCCTCTAACCACCCCAGCACCCGGTCTCCGATACCTGTGCTGCTTTAGCCCCCAACCCTAGGGCCTCACTCCAGGCCATTCTCTCCTTGCAGTCCTCAATGGAGAGGACCCTGACCTCCGCGGGGCCCTGGGGAGCACACACTCACACACATCCCCAGGGGAGCCAGTCTTCTGCCCCCACAGCGCGAGAAATTTCTTGGAAGCCCGGGAAGGTCGTGCTGGAGACTCCGGTGTCACCTTTGGCCCTCTGGTCCTTTCGTGGAGTCCCAGGTAGATGTGGTTAGCGGTGGGAGACGCACAGGGTGCCTTTTCTGGGCAGAGCGGAGGCCCAGGTGCCTCCCTCCTAAGTGATTTGCCCTCTTTTCTTCTTGTGGCCGGATTAGGTGAAGCCGTGTCCGAAGAAGGGGGGCAAAGAAGGACAGGGGTCCTGGGGGGTAAGGAGAGCCCATCTTCCCTCTGCCCTGAGGGCCTGAGATGAAACCCTGGGGAGAAGTGACTGGGAGAAGCCGAATCCTGAGCTGCACTAGGGTTAGATACGTTGTGGACTTGGCCTCTCCACACCCTGAGCCTGAGTTTAGACAGCAGCTGCAGAAATGAATGGGATTCAAGATGGGGACTGAGAAAGCACATTTGCATCCTCTCCTTTGATTCAACTGATGGATCAGTGTTTTTAAGTCGAAGCCACAGCAAGAAAGAGGCCAGAAGGAAGTCGTTAGCAGATGAACGATTTCATCTGCAAGATGAAACAAATTTAGAGACCTGTGGGGTAGATTAGAGGGCACAAGCCCAGAAAATATGCGGAGGGTGTGGAGCGCAGGGGAGCTGACCCATCCACCTGTGAGATCCTCAGGGAGCCTCCAGGCTCCAGTGCAGGTATCACGGAGGGCAAAGTGGAAATGGGGCCAGAACAGGCAGAATAAATGAAGATCCAGTATGGATAGTGAATTCTCCTTCCCCAATATCATGGATGCAGTCAAGGCACTTACCCCAAAGAGAAAAATCAGAGATTCTCTTCAAAGAGAGTTGTGTTCACTGCCTGGTGAGAGTGGGTGCTCCTAATGTACTTTTCGGTCCTCTGGAGGAAACCCTCCTCACCATGGCATTTAGAGGTCCACTAGCGTAATGACTGGTTCCCACTCTAAGCTCTCCCCACATGCACATAACCCCATCAGCCTGTTCATAAAACTCGTTTAGATACAAAAATACAGGACGAAAGGTAGCCCCATATATTTTAGAAAAGCTTCCAAAGTGAAGGAGAACAAACCAAAGAAGTCCTCAGATAACATTCAAAGAATAAAAGAGTAAAAAGGAAGAAAATGTGTATCCTCAGGAAAGTTCAAGAAAATACTATAATACATCTTTTAAAAGACACAGGAAAAAGGAACAGAGAAACAATTATCTTTTCAAAGGCTGTGGTAAATACATAATATAAAATTTACCATTTCAACCATTTTTAAATGTACAGTTCAGTGGCTGTATTAGTCTATTTCACACTGCTAAAAAGATGCTACTCCAGACTAGGTAGTTTAAAAAGGAAAGAGGTTTAATTGACTCACAGTTCCACAGGACTGGGGAGGCTTGAGGAAACTTAGAGTCATGGCTGAAGGTGAAGGGGAAGCAAGTACCTTCTTCATGTGGTAGCAGGAGAGAGTCTGCGTCAGTGCAGGAAAAAGTACCAGTTATAAAACTATTATACCTAGTGAGAATTCACTCACTATTAAGAGAACAGCATGGGGTAAACCACCCCTATAAGCCAATCACTTCCCATCAGGTCTCGCCCTAAACACCGGGGATTACAATTTAAGATGAGATTTGGGTAGGGACACAAAGCCTAACCATATCAGTAGCATTAAGGATAGTCACACATTTTTCTAAAAGTATCATGGACAACTCTTCCCAGAACTCTTTTTTATCTTGCAAAATGGAAACTGTGTACCTACCAAGAAATAACTACCCATCCCCCAGTGCCACCCATCCTGGCAACAACCATTCTACTTTCTGTCTCCATGAATTTGACTACTCAGGCTGGTCTTGAACTCTAGGGCTGAAATGATCCACCTGTCTCAGCCTCCTAAAGTGCTGGGACTACCCATCTGTATCAGCTTTACAGTAGCCTTGAAAACCAAGCATCACACAGTGATGTTATCTGTTCAAACAAATCACAAACAAAAACAATAACAAACCACCGGAGGGGCCAGAATGTGATTGGAGCCACCTCAAAGCCCGTCTCCAGAGGACTGTGGCTAACATTAATGAATTATTAAAAGTTTATTTGTAAGATCAAGAATGAAACATAGATGCCTAATACTATGGTTTCTCTTCAATATTGTAATAAATGCCTTAGAAAGTGCAGGAAGACATGAAAAACAAGTGAAAGAACTGAGTTAGAAAAGAAATAAAACTGTCCCTGGTCCCAGATGACGCAATAGGATATCTAACAAAATACTGAAAAAAACACTATTTGCCCTGTGTGGATGCTTGCTTAAAAGCTCCATTCTCAGGATTTGTCTTTATTTTACCTGACTTAGTGCTTTCTCTGGATAAACAACGTATCTCCTGAGAACATCTGTGCAAAATAAATAAATAAATAAATAAATAAGGTCAGAAGATAATTGTTTCCTATCTCCACTTCCTGAGGTAGTGCTGCCAGCTGGGCAGACAAGTGGCTGACCAAAAACTTAAAATGAAAAACTGGGGAATGAGCTTTCTCTTGGCCCTTTGATAAAGCTCAGATATAATCTTGGGAGTTTAGGGGGTCGGTTGCCGTTCTGTGCAAGTCTACGGGCATGTGTGGGATTGTGTGTGCTGTTTTATCTCAAGAAGATCTGAGAAGGCCCCACGCTTTCACTTCTGGATGGCTTAGAAGCTCTAGGTAAGAAAGAATTAAAGGTAAAGTAGTAAACAGCCTGTCAGAGAATCAGAGCATTGACCATGTTCCCTGACACACACACACACACACACACACACACACACACACACACAAGCACACGCACACAATGATTCAATCAACAAAGGCTGGGAGATTTACTGCAACAAGATATTTAAGGAAATGTTCATCCATTCATTAACTGGTGACTAAGCTAATCAGGCAGAGAATTCAGTGGCTGGATACACAAAGACACATAGATTTTAAAGATCTCATTGAGGGAAGTCCCTGAATAAACATCAGCAATAACCGTTAGTAAAAACAAATTTTGAGAATGAAATCTGATTTCCATTATATCATGCAAGTCAAGTCATAGTATGTAACACTGACAGTGTTCAACAATAAGTTACAAGACATGTGGAGAAACAGAAAATTATGGTCCATCTACAGAGAAACCTGCAGTCAATAGAAATTGTTCCTGAGAAAGCCCAGAATCAGACTTAATGAACAAAGACTTTTGATCAGCTATACCTGTCCATAAAACTAAAATAAAACTCCATGCCTAAATAACCAAACAGAACCATAAGAAGGATATCTCAACAAGAGATAATATTAATTGATACATATTATTTTAAGAATATACATTTTGAATATAATAAGTATAATCATGAGAATGAAGTATTTACTAAAAGGACTTAATAGCAGATTTGAAGTGGCAGGAGAAAGAATCAAGTAACTTTAAGACAATTGAGATTATTCAGTCTCTGGAACAGAAAGATAAAACTTCAGTAAGGATGCAAAAACTAGACATAAGATCAACAAGCGGCCAGGCGCGGTGGCTCAAGCCTGTAATCCCAGCACTGTGGGAGGCCGAGGCGGGTGGATCACGAGGTCAAGAGATCAAGACCATCCTGGTCAACATGGTGAAACCCCGTCTCTACT